TAAATTCGTTTTAAGACGCGAAAAGGCAAGTAAAATGAAAATGCAGGGTAACGGTGAAAAAGGAACACCAATTCATAAAACAAGTAGAGTACACAACAGAAAAAGTCCTAAGAGCCTTGGATAGGGTAAAAGAGGCATATAGAACAGTAGTAGGCTAAAAGATCGGTGATTAAATAAAGACGATGCAAGCACTATAGGGGGGTGTGACTGACGTAGAAAAAAAGAAAATACAAAAGCTAATGGAGGCGATCCCGACTAACACAATGGAAACAACTAAGTACTTAACGGAATAAATTTGAGTCATAACATACGGAAACTATGAACGATACCTTTAGGATATAAAAACGTTTGAAGATAAAGCTGGGAGAATAACGGAGGAAGGTTCAAAAATGTTTGCTGAATACTTCAGCGATTATGACAGAGTTACAGAAATGGTGGGCAAATTTGAACACTTAGCCAAGAAACTTATGATAAAATTTGAAACAACGGTGGACATAATATACTTGGCGAGTCGGGAAATGACACATTTACCAGATGCGGCATTAAGAGCAATTTTGTAAGCAAAAATTTTGGCAGAGCAGCTGAGACCAGATCTACAGTTCCCAGTAAGAGAAAATACAACTACAGAAGAGGAAATTGGAGAAATCTCAGAAATAGCGACCATGGCATTGAATGGCAGAATATTATATAACATACGGATACCACTGGTTACGAAAGAAAATTTGAACCTTTTTAGAATATTATCATTGACAGTGAAACAAAAAGGCTTAAATACTACGGATTTAGTGGCATACTTGCAGCTAACATACGAATACATAGCAAGCAGTGTGAGTGAGAGAAGATTTACGCCATTACCGCAAAAGGTGATAAAACTATGTAAAAGACTAGGAAGAACACGAATATGCACACAAACGGAGCCAACACAGGAGGTCGAAGAGGACCACCCCTGTGAAATACGTATCATATTGGGGATTGCAGTGAAGAAACCAGAATAATGTCCGATAATATTAGCCAAGTTAAAGGGCACATTTTGGACACGTCTCCATAATAAAAACCAACATGCCTTTACCACCACGAGAAAGGACTCAGTCCACATACAGTGTGAACACACCGAACACAAGACACTGAAGGTGGTGGATTCTGGGTTGGTCAGCTTAGCAAGAGACTGTATAGCTCAAGCATTGGATACAAGACTGGATTCAGGACAAGAGGAAGGTGAAAATCGCATAATGAAGCTTGAAAGCGCAAACCTAAACTTGAAATATATAATTCAAAAGGTGAAAGGGACTCAAAGAGGTATGTTATTGGAATTAATCGAAGCAGTGATAAAAAGAGATGGACTACAGGAGCTCGATAAACAGGATTATGGCCTTGACAATAGGATAAAAACAGGTACAAAGCTAGCGGATATACTCCAACGGGCACACGAGTTAGTACAAACAAAAGAGGAATTCTCAATTTAAAAGGACTAGCATTGATGGCAGCGGAAATAGCACTACGAGTGGCAGTCGGATTTTTGGGATTTTTAAAATAGGGGGTCCAATAATACTTAAAGGTTTGAGAATGATTGCAGGCAGACGGAAGAGGAACCGCGGAAACACTAACTCGATACTACAAGACTTGTCAACTCAGAGGGCCATGGTTAACGCACGAGAGGTACAAGTACTACTAGGTGAGCGGGTAGGATCAGAAGGCAGAAGACAACCGGCTCAGTTAACAATTATTTATCATTGAGGTCGACGATGTAATGAAAAGGGTTATATATAAGATGTATACATATTTAAAAAAAAAAGATAATGAAAATTAATAAATAAACAAACGAAAATAAAAATAAAAAGAAAAAATGAATGAATAATAACCATACAAAAAAAATAATTACACAATAATAATGTAACAAGAGCAGCGCAAACGAAAACAATTATGTATACACAAATAAGTAAGAATTCAGACAACATAACACAAATATACTGGCCCACACAAACCAGTATGGCCATTAAGGACTATGACCGCGTGGCCTCAGACGTGTGACGTACAGTATCTGGAGCCTTTATAAGTTTGCACCCAAGACTCACCTCTCGTGGTGCATGAGCAGCGGATACAGAGTATGATGAACACCTTTCGGCGGCGGGCCCGAGCGTTATCTGCTCTCCCACCAGCCCTCTCTCCGATTAGCCTTCGAACCTAACACCTCGCACGCAACTGCTCTCGCTTTGGTTCACGAATAAACGGATATATAACTTTCTTTTACGTGTATTTTATCCTCTTACACCCCCAAGCTCCACGATTCTCACGTAACAGTACATCGTAAAAAAATGAAATCATCTTCTAGGCACCAGAAGCCGCAAAAAATGAAACTTTTAAATGATTACCGTTACGGCAATGAAATTTTGGCCTACTTTTTAAGCCTTATGGCAACGCAAGAAAAATTTCGACTCAATCTCAAAAATACATTAAGGAACATTGGTTTACACGCTTTACAAAAAAATTTCCAATTCAAAATAATTCGATTCGTCGTTTTTAAACACAGGCTTTATGGAATATTACATTTTTTGTGAGATTACTCGTACATAGAAAAGGTAAACAACACTAACTTTCAAGATTTAACAAAAATTAAAAAGTCAACAAGCATAGATGGACTAAATAAACAAATGTAGAGAGTGATTAATGTGAAAAAAGATGTAAGGAAGGAGATTACCAGAACGATAGTAAAACTAAAAGGAGGATACAGAACATAAAGAGGTCACATAAGGTGCTCACGGATCGTAGAACGCACTATGTAGCAGAGGTAGTGAATGAGTTGGAAAATCTAAAGGCTATTAAATAGGATGTCAAAAAGATGCAAGAAAATACAAGTTTAATTAGATATACTAAACACCCTATCACAATCAAAGTTGATTGAGGTGAACTAATTAGGAAAAACTTCGATAAGACGCCCCATAAAACTCCTCATATGCATGACACGAGAGACTTTTCGGGCAATAGGGTAAGAGATAAGTTGTAAGTAGAATTCATAGAAAAAAAGAATTTTAGTCAAGTACGATTACAAGCTAACCTCAAGAGCTAAGTTTAAAATTTTTTTAGACTAATTTACTTCCTGATTGAAAACCCGTGATTTGTTATACGTAATTGATGAATCAATTAAAAGCGATAATATATCGGATAATAAAACACTTGACAAACATTAATATAAAATAAAGGATATACTCAAAAACATAAGCTTAAAAGATTGTATAGCATTAAAATCAACCCCAAAGAAAGTCTGCTTTCTAATTTTGGGATGAATTTGAAGATAAAGTACGTAGATTTGATAATTTAAATAATAATTTACCTTTATCGGAAGAAAAAAAGAGAGACGCGTTCTACACTGTAGTTGTACAATCGGTTCCTAATCAACTAAATGTTGTAACGAGGCAAAATGATCTTCATGTTCCAAAATGCTCTCGCTGATGCAACGTACATACAAAGAGCATTCATTTTAAGCTTCTCCGAATTTTTGTACTTCAGGAGCTGTGTATACGCTGTGAGGAGCAGAAGAGGATGCCAGTCGACAACCAGCTGAGATGCAGAGACACAGCAGCGCCAGTGGGAAAGGACAAGAAAAATGTGAACACGACTATCGAGACACACAGCAGCTGCTATGTCAAGAGTGACTGCAAGATAAGATACGTAGTAGCAGCAGCGGCGGCGGCCACTGCTCGAGCGAGAGATCGTGACAGAAAGTTGTCAAGAAGTTGCGTAGTGTCAGGAGAAGAGAAAGAAGTGTGCGAGTGGGCCTAGAAGCTGCTGTATCCCACCGCCGAATCATCACCTAGAGGAGGGCCAAGACGAAAGACAGGCAGGGGCTTAGGGCCAGAGAAGGTTGAAGGTTGAAGGTTTTTATTTATGACCTTGGGGTAAAACCTCATCTGGCCTATCAGGATTGTACAAATGTTAACGAAAAGCATGATGCAGTAAGAAATTGCTCTCTCAACATATGATGCAGTCACTATAGGTGAAAATTAACAAATATATTAGTACAAGTTTGGCAAATCAAACAAAGGTAAGGTCAAAAAAGCGGGTAATATAGACTAAACTGTAAAAATAAACAAGAAATAAAGTAATACTAAATTCACAAGATATCGTATAAGCAGCTTACAGGTACCCACACGGCAACAGCGGTGCTAAGGCTAAGTCAGGTTTGAGAGGGGGGTAAATATTATCATATTCATATCGAGTTTACCACGGGAAAGGATATATGGTGAGGGAAGAGAAAAACATGATAACTATTGATCAGTAGGCAGACCCTCCTCCATGACTCGGACCTCCCAGTCGTGTATATCAAACTCCAACAGCCTATCAAAAAGCAATGTCCTGAAAGCAGTGAGCGACAAATCAAAGGAAAAGGGCGCAAGCGAATTCAGCAGGTATGATGCCTGTACATGAAATGAATCTCTGAGTGCCTATGTGCGCTGGTTCGGTATTTGCAAGGGGGGCAAAGCTCGACGGGTAGGCACTCGGGCTAACGGACGATACTCAGTTAGCGAAAAAAGTGAGAACAGGTAGTCAGGGCATTGACGTTTGATGGTTTTGAACGCAAGTAGGCCCATAAAAAGTTGACGCCTTCTGGCCACCGATAGCCATTGAAGTTTGAGCCTATGCGGGGTAACGTGCGCTCTTCTAGGGAGCCCCCCAATAACAAAGCGCACACAGGCATTGAGCGCTCTCTGGAGCTTTAAGTTCCTTGTTGCGTCTAGAACTGTATACACCACGCAAGCATAATCAAGGTGAGGAAACACCAGGCTTTCAACCAACAGCTTACGAACAAGAGGGGTCAATGCATGCCTATAGAATTTGAGGGACCTAAGGGCAAAGTGAACGCGCTGTACAACTCCATTAACATGTGCTGTCCAGTTCAAAGTGGGAGAGATAAGTATCCCAAGGTTTTTGACACTTTCAGAAAACGGGACAAGTGCAGGGCCAATTCTAACCCGTGGAAGGTCAGCCAGATCAAACTGCGACGTTTATATCTGGCTACCCAGCAGCATCACTTTGGTCTTCCTAGTATTAAGGGCAAGGCCATTCTCCTCCGACCAGTTGACAACCGCAGACCCGTCCTCCGACGACAGTGCAACACCCCCCTCCAGGTCAGCCGGAAAACAGTGTAGGTAGATCTGGGTGTCGTCCGCGTAAATCATGTGGGAGCAGTGTTTGAGCACACGTGGCAGATCATTAATAAAAAGCGCAAACAACAGAGGTCCCAACACACTCCCTTGCGGAACACCATCCTCAATCGGTCTAAATTCAGATAAAGCACGACCCTCGGCACCGACCGCCTGAACCCGGCCTGACAGATAGGACCTAATAAACGCCATTACAAGATGGTCAAAGCCCAATCTGTGAAGTTTTTGCAGCAATTTGTCATGAGGCACAAGTTCGAAGGCCCTCGAGAAGTCAAACAGGACTAACAGGGTCACTTTACGTTGATCAATGGCTATCCTTATATCGTCCGTGACCCTGAGCAAAGCAGTCTGTGTACTGTGTCCGCTTCTAAACCCAGCTTGTCGTGGGTCCAAAAGACCATGTCTGTGCAAGTGCCGGACAATCTGCTGGTGGAGGATCCGTTCGAAAACCTTTGACAGCGCTGGTAGAAGGGCAATCGGTCTGGTGTCGGCCGGCGAAAGAGGAGCTCTAATCTTGGCCAATGGAGAAAGTAGAGCACGTCTCCAAGGCAACGGAAAATGGCAAGCATCGATACACGCATTGAAGAACCTAGCAAGGGTAACAGAAAGCACGGAAGCAGCAAGTTTAACCATCCTGGGCGACAAACCATAGAGATCAAGAGCAGAAGAAGAAGAACGCAACAGTGCAGTACGCACCTCAAAAGCCGTCGTATGACTAAATGAGAATCTGCTCCCTGGAGGTTGGGGCAGCGGAAGAAAAGGTACCGGTGTGATGGGCCTATCAGACGCGGGGGTGATGATCGCTCTGGTGCGGGCAGCGTAGGCATCATTGAGCTCATCGGGGTTGAACAGCTCGAGCGGGGACGGCAACTGCTGAGATGAAAGACCAAGCCCTCTAAATGCTCGCCACTTTGCTCTCGCGTCCGGTGCACGATCAATCACCAGCGCAATGTGCCTATTCTTGGCTGTGCAGATTGCATTGGAAGCACGTGCCCGCAACCTCCTAAATTCCGCCTCATCCTCAGGGCGCCCCATCCGGCGGGCCCTTCTATATGCCCGGTCGCGATCACGGAACAAGCGTCTTATTTCACTCGTCATCCAAGGTTTCCTTTTAGTGGAGAGATGTAACTCAGTGAGCGGTGAGATCTCATCGAAAGCACAGAGTATTTGCGAGGAAAGCCGCGACGCAAAAGTGTCAATATCGTCTGCCTGACAAGCGCCGCCATCCACGGGACAAAGGACGCTAAGCGAACGTTCAAGAGCGCTACACAGCACGGTTGGATTAATACGCCCCAGGTCCCTAATTCTAATGGTCTTTGTAGCCCGCCTACCACCAACCTTGAGCACCAATTTTATCCAGTCGTGTCCCGTAATAAATGGCGAAACTGACTTGTGATAGGAGACTATGTCCGAAGAATCAGCAACCACGAATACGTCAAGCTATGTGTGGGACGGTGGGTCTCTCCATAGAACATGATGAGTGGGCTCCGAAGGTACCAGGCACAATGCAAGCTCGGATAGCCTCAGCGGGACGCTGACAACAGGAACGAGTGTAAGAAAGCGCTAGGTAGAGTGTTTTTCCCCTTTTCTTCCTGTTTTCGTGCGTCGTGCGAGGGCTAGCAAGCGCCGGTAGGACACCGGACACGGTCCAGGAGTACTGGATAGCGTGAGAAAGAGCGAAAGAAAGACTGAGCGTGTGTGAGAGAGAAGGAGAGAGTATAGTAGTGTGTGAGACTGGGGACGGAGTGCGAGTGTGTGCATAGTAGTGTGTCCCGATGAGCAGGACGTGGTGGACAAGCGCTTGCGGCTCGCGGGGTGTGAGGCAGTGTCGCTGCAGCGCAATACAGAGGACGAAAAAAAGCGTTGTGTCATGTATTGTGGAGAAATATACTATGTATTAGTGATTGAGTAAAGAATAAGTAAAAGGTATGTATTTGTGCGTTAATTTAATAGTTCTCCCCGTAAAACGGGAGAACTCCCGCGCCAATCCCTCTTTTTCAGAAGCAGAAACCCAGGATGTAAGGGGGACAAAGGTGACAAACATGATCGAGATTTGGCAGTGCCGTGTCTGCACTTTTCTTTATTTGCAGGTAAAGAAACAGTGTTAAAATGTAGATTTTTTGTACCAGATTTGCATAGGTGAGACACTAAGTAATAATTGACTGAAATCGTATATTTTGAAAGCTAAGGCCCAGAAAACTCTGAGAAGGTCAGCTCCAACGGTACCTGCTGCCATACTGCGAGTTTCGAGAGTAGACGCCCCTAAATGTTCTAAGCGTGAAGACATGAATCATATACTTTAAGACTGCCCGAAGATGGATGGAAAAAAAAGTGCTTCCGGTGTGAAGAGTTAGTCAATACTGATGTGTATAAGGGGGACACCTGCCTTAATTAAAAAAGAGGTCACAGAATACTTATTCAAAAAGTAAAGACTAAGATTTTAAAAGCCATGACGGTGAGTCGCAAGACAACGCATCCAGATTGAGCACACAGGCGAATAAGAAATAAAAAAATAAAAATAATAACAGTAACAACAATAATAATGTTACGTCCGAACTTTTATAAGTAAAAATCGGAACTCGTGGATTCGTTCTACAGACAAATAAATTTACTTTTTGTTCGTCCGGAGCCAGCTACCGGCCAAAAGGGCTTATTTGCTTCTACTTACAATATACTTTTATTTGAAATCGTTGACTCCGCGTTGGGGTGTTAGGTTTTACCGAGTGATATGTATAGAGTGGTGTACGCTGAGCTAGCGTTGACTTACTGTTAGAGCTGATGTCTTATGTCATACGGTAGTAGCTTATCTTCTTCGTCTTTTTATCTCCCGTCATTATAAAAGTCTTTGTCATACAGCGTCTATTTTATTTTTTCTCAATATTCAATTTAGTCATTAAGGTGAGAATTATGTATCAATCAATTAAAATTATCAGATCTTGAAATGTTTTATGTAATTTAGCAATCCAAATGTTTTTGAATTAAAAAAATTAATTTAATCAACAACCGAGTTATGTCTTCTTTGATGGTTTAATAAATTTAAAAAAGACAGAAAAGGTAAATTTTATAAATAGTATAAATAGTAAAGTTTCAGATTCGCATTTACAATGTTATACAATTTATAGTTTCCTTAACTTAACTTACTTCTATAATCGTTGATTAGCCACTGCTTGCGCGTACGAAGTCGCAAAATCTTACAAGTTTGACCACAAGAATATTCCTAATCCTAAACGAGAGCACTCGTGGCGATGACTATAATAAGGCTTCTGCTTTTAACGTCAGAAGGTTTTTTTGTTCATTGTTCCTCCTTGATTCACTTTTTAGGCGAGTTTAGAGTGGCCTGGTTTGCTCAAGCTTTTCTCACGCAGTCTAAAAGATGATACAGAACTTACTCTCCAACCTTTATAGTTACTTTGACGCACTTGATGGAAGAGAAAAGATGAATATTGTTATGTGCGAGGAGTTTTTATACTCTTGCGGTTTAGGAGAACGCGTCAAGTTGGGGATCTGAACGACTAATCAGAGCTTCACCTAATTACCCTCAACTGACACGAACACAGTCATAGTGCAATAATTTCACAGTAATTTATGGTTAAAATTGCTGATCTCTCGGATTTTACATTTAGTACAAGTTTCTGTCGAAATTGTATATGATATTTCTTGTGTACATCCACAGTAAAGAATGTTGAAAAAGTTTATTAATCACATTATTTGGTGTGCTTGTGCGGATTGATTTTGTAAGATGAGAATTTTGTAAGATTGTTTGAAGTTGCACGCGTAGTTCGAGTTTTGCGACGGTAGCTTGTTTAAAAAAAAGTAAGTTACATGGCACGCGATTGCAGAAGCAGGTATACCACTCGATAGTTCGAGATCGCTGAGCTTTTGCTTTTTATAATTTAAAGACGAAACTCTGTGTTTTGAAGTAATAAATATTAAGTATATGACATGGGATGTCACACGGTCCCCTTAGCTAATTGCCGCCCTCGGCAATTATAAGAGCGAAAATGGTCGAACTTATGTCAGGTACTTTAAATACGAACACAATTATAATATGTATATTTACATATTTCTCGTTGTTGAAAGTATTAAATTAAAAGAATAAGACGTAAAAATTAAGTTTTACATGTAAATTACTACAATTTATAAGATAAGTCATTATTTCTTGAGATTTTATCGTTCCAAGTCTCTCGTGTTCAACTCATTGTAGGTGATGTTATGCTACAGTTATGAGTGTAGAATGGATTGTCATTTAGAAATGGCAGCTTAACGGTCACATTATTGCTGAGTTTGGTAGAAATGATGTTTACACTTGATTTAAAAATAAGGTGGTTTAAAGTTGTTGGCCTTTTTTTTCTCTTTTCTTTTTTCTTTCCTTATGGTCGTGGTGCACTGTAACCGAAGCATAAGATAAGGTTGGTAGAGATCTTTTATTTCCTGATTTCAGCTTTAATCGGTAGTGTTATGCAGTATGCGTGGATGCTTTGAATTTCAAGAAGTCTCCTAATGGGGTTATTGCTTTATGCAATATTTTTGCAAGATTCGTAATGCTTTATTGACCTTGCTCCATTGCTTTATTGAAATCAATTGAGAGGAGGTACTGTAATGTTGCTGTCATGCCCTTATTATATCGTTCTTAATCCTGCGTACAATTGTGTTGTAACACTATGAGGTTTAGTTTTATTGATGTTTTACATATTGAAAAAGCTTTCTGCGAACTATAAGACATTAATGTCACCGTAGAATTTTGCCACAACTTTACGATGCACTAGTATTAAACTAAATGTTGTTAAAGGTCAGTGGTTGAAAATACATCTTCAAAACGTGAAATCTTCCGTTGATGGGTTTTTCACGTGCATTTAATTTGTTTTATGTTCACAAGTGTAATACAATCAAAGAGTATGATTTTCAATAGTGGTATACGTTAACTTAAAAAAAAATAATTTTTTGAAATTTTATTTGATTATAAAAACTTTTTTTTTTTTTCTAGCATTTAAACATTTGGGTATCATTGGTAATAAATTTTGGACGTTGATTACATTTAACTGCTGTGGAAATAATTTCAGTTTGGAAATCAGTTAACTAAAATTTGGTAATTTATATTTTAACTACTGAAATTATTCCCTCACAAAATTGTTAAGGTTTGATCTTATGATTAATCTAATTTCTAATTAGTCTTATACTATGAACTTATGAACGAATGTAAATTTTTAACGGAGTTCACAACAAAGCAACAAATATTAGTTAATTGTATTGGCAAAACAAGGCTGTTGATTAAAAAAAATGTACGAAAATAACTCTTCATGTACAAGTAGTGATTTGCAAGCGTTAAAAGACAGAAAGTTTAATTTTTGTTTCATGCGTACTTAAATTGGAGTAAGTCTCGTTGGGGGGGTCTTATTTGTGACAGCGCTTTACTTGATTTAAATGTTTAATAATTATTTTTTCATTCTCTGCTTTAAGTATTAAGTTGTTATAATATTTATTTATATTGGTGATTCCAAAAATTCCGTTGTTATATTTATCTAATTTTTCTCTCCAAGGTTCTTTCATTGCGTAAACTTTCATACCAACTTCTAAGCTCTGAGCTGCAGCATGTTTACCATAATTTTTTTAACATTTCTGTTTACATTTGATGAGCTCATTATGAGCTTTTTCATGCATGTCTCTTAAATAACGAATCAAATCATAAAAAAAAAATATTAGAAGACTGCACTTGATTTTCAATAAGATATGGATTTGGTGGACGCGCTTGTCTGCCGTATACTAACTGATATGGTGTAAATTCAGTAGCTGTATGCAGTGATGTATTGTATTTCTTTATGGCAAATGGTAAGATTTTGTCCTTTGTTTAGTGGTAGCTATTGTTCTTAAAGAGCTTGCAAGCATGGCATGACTACGTTTTCGTGAACCGTTGAATTAGGGATAGTAAGGTGTAGTGGTCTTGAGGTTGAACCCAAAAATTTAGGATGAATTTGTTAGTATATAATTTTGCAAACTCTTTCCATTATCGTTGAGCACTCCATACAACGCTATGAGGT